TTCTACTTGCATAAGGAAGGAAGGAAGGAAGGAAGGAAGGAAGGAAGGAAGGAAGGAAGGAAGGAAGGAAGGTTCATGTCCTTATGTAACCTTTCAAAAGCCAATCTTTTTCCACAAGATAGATACAAAACGTCCAGCCAATGCCCCTAATTCCCTCTAAGTATACCAGCACTCCACAGACAGAACCCCCAAATCTAGTTTCAATAAACCCTTTATGATGGCCAGTATATTGAGGATAAAAGCCCAAGTTTACTAACAAGCAAGTACCTCTATTCCAATTTAAAATATTTCAACTGAGAGTGTTCTAGCCATGATCTTAACATGCAAGGCACACACAAAGTTGACAAAGTAAATTATTGAAGACAATGTCCCACTGTAATTAAAACAGTGGAAAGGCAGAACGCAGAAAGTCTCCCACCCACCATTCACCCTTCCCATCCTAATGCAAGTAGAAATACATGCTTTGTAGACCACAAATACCCAGGCTGATTAATTACATGGCTATGCAATATTACTCATGCATTCCTCCTGAAATGTCAAAAGGATTAGGAGTGCCACATCTTTCCTCCCCAACTCTAATCTAAAGGAGCCCTGCTGAAATGAAAACAGTGCAATTACTTTCGTACACTGTCAATTTTACAATAGGGGGAAAAAAGAGCTTTACTAACAGCAAATAATTATACCACCACTTAATGATTGATTTAACATAGAAAACCCATCTAATTCCTTTTGTCATTACAATCTACAGTACTAACACTCTAACAATGCTTCCTTAGTAGTTTGGCATTACATTAGCATTAAGAATAATGCTAATATAAAACCTAGCTTAACTTTTTATATTGTTAATCTGCATCAGTGCACCATACTCCTGGTGTATTATGAGGCCTATTAGTGTAGCAAACATTTGGAGCAATACAATCCAGTCTAGCAGCATCATTTCAAGAAAGGGACTCATGCAGAATTCTTTGCATTTGAAAAATTAGCCTCCTACATGACAATCAGACTAAGGGGTGATCAACTTTCCTTTTCGCTGCAAACAGTGGCCAATGAACTAAGTTATACTGCATAACACAATTCTATGCTTTCAAGCCCTAGATACCTCCAAACTGATCTCATTCAGATGATTGCTGCCCCATCTTAAAGCTTCGAGATGGAGATGGACTTATTTCTGATATTATTTATAGGATCAGGACTGCATTGGGATGGGAAAGTCTTTTATAATTATACGAGAGCCTCATTTCATGCTAGAGGAGTTTGGAAGAATTGTTTATTTCTATTTAAATACACAGCACTTACGTAATTGCTGGATGAATTCAGTAATAAGCAGAATAATTGCTGGTTGAATTCAGTAAAAAGCAGTACTAGTCTTGTAGATCTAACTATACATAAAAATAAAATAGAGGTCTGGTATGAGCAAAGAAAGGAAAAGTAGCATTCTTGCCTTAATATTGTAGATTTCATTGTATTTCAAGTGCTCTATTAATTCTGTAGGCAGAAAACTTTTCAGAACTTCTGAATTGCTTCTGAACAAAAAATAAATCTGAAAAGGTCAAGGATGTTTTATAACATTCAGGTCTGGGCCAGAAGAGGTTAATTTCTGAATGTCTTTTAAAATAAGGACATATTCGATATCTGGTTTAACAGAAAGTACAGGTAGAATTGGTCATGTATTTATCTGATATCAAAATTCAGGAAACTTGATTGTCTTGCCCATTCACATATTTGACGTAGTGTCAGTGAGGGTTTTAGCTTTCCATTCACCTCTAATAAGAATGAAATGAACATAACAAGCATTGCAATAGGGTGAAAGAACTGCAGGATGAAATTGTACCCTTGAATGTCCCATCAGAGAGGGCTGTAAATTCTGTACTTTCCATTTCTCGGTCAGAAAACACGTGGACTAAGAATGAAAGTGTGAAATCATTAGAGTTTATATCTCATCCTGTCTGTAAGCTTTGGCCTATTTCTTTAGAAGTGTCACTACTTCCTGTTTAACATATCGACCTGCCTATTTGGCATTTGACAGCAGTATTGAATTTTTGCTGAATTTTATGCTTCAGGAAGGACATAAAGTAACAGGTTTTCCCCTGGGCTCCCCCCTCCACAGCCTCAAATTTACTATGAACTTCAGAAACACTTTGTAATCTTATGTAAATATGTTATTTCTTCTTTTCTGTTGGAAGCAGACTTCTTTTCCAGGAGGGGCAATGAGGCAGTGGAGGGGTGGTAAGGGTTCCCTTGACTCTAGAGAAGTCGCTTCAAAACAGTACAAAGCAGAAGTAAATTAATGCCCCTTTTACCTTTTCTCCCAACATTTTATTGGCTAGTTTGGTTGGATCCCAGCACATGAAGTTGTCTTAGATGATCTCTCTATATACTCTCCTATCTTTTTCCTCTTTCATACTTTCACAAAGCCCATGGCTGGAATTGCCAATTTGTTGGCAAAGAGTCTGAAAAGTAATTATTGCAACACTGAAAAAAAAAAATAAATCTGTGGTTTTTGTTTCTGTTTTGTTGTGTTTTTTTGTTGTTTTTTTTTTTCCCAATTCAAAACCAAACTTTGGAAAACCTTTTGTTTCCAGTAGAGAGTTATAGATGAAATTCAGATGTTCCCCCCAAAAGAGTATCATGACACTTATCATTAAAATGATGAAATACTGTGGAATTTGCAGTGGTCATGTCACCATCTGAATACTGCATAGAGGCTAATAGGAAAACATAGACATAGTGGATTCTGCAAAGTCACCAAACCAAGGGAAAAATTAGTTAACAAGGAAATCTGAGGCAAAAAAACCTCAAAAAACTGACTTGTAATTATACTAAAATTCAGGTGTGCAGAGTTTTGCTTCTGTAGCACAGACTCTCAGCATCTTCTCCTCACTTGTGTCTGAGAACCAGAGTGAGGCATGAGGGTCTGGTGGGTTCTTTGAAAGATGGCCAGGATGAGAAGACTTGGACAGGTGAAGAGAGAGTGTGTGTGTGTGTGTGTGTGTGTGTTTTGAAGGGATATAGAAA